GGTAGGGCCCCCCCCCCCCCCCAGTGGTCCTTTTCCGGGCCGAGCAGAAATTTTCAGGGGGAGGTTCCCCCACCCGGAAGCCGGACCATTAATGGAAGTTATGGGGGGCAGCGGGGCCCCCTCCCAGGGCCCCCGGGGCCCCAGGACCGCCAACAAGAATTGGGGCTTGGGGGCCAGCACCCACCAGTCCCACGCCGGGGTAAGGCCCGCCCGAGCCATTGTGGCCGTTCTCATTTGGGGGGGGGGCCGGGGCCGGGGTGGGCCGGGCGAAAAGGGGGGGGGGGGGGGGGGGGCAGAGCGGCCCTAATGCCCCGCATGCTACGGTGAGATGAATGCCATCTCCCGCCCGCAATTAACGATCGTGGCTCGTCGTCCGGACGCTGTTGGTACAATATTCCCAGGGCGGGTTCGTTCATCTGCCGGGTGGAGACAAGTTCGAGTACTTGCTCGCCGGGTTCGGCGTGAAGGTTCCTCTGGGAGAGCTCGAGATGGGTGCCCCCCTGAACCCCTCCGGTACGTGGCGCCGGGACACAGGGGGGGCATCGAATTACTTGTTATGCGATAATGTTGTCGCTTGAAATTCTACCCGAAGCAGACAGAATCTATTGGTAGGTCCCCCCCCCAAACACAACGATGAGCACTACGAACCCACAGCAGTACTCTTTCTGATTGGAGGCGAACACTAACCGAAGCCAAATTTTACACGGGTGGCCAAAAGGAGGATGTAACTGGTGCCCAACCTCCCCGAGGGTCAGGTTGGGACGTTGGGGATCGACCTTGGACAACATGTGGTCTGCGCTGCCAGTCCGCCCTATTGATTGGACCAACGTCGCAATCCGTGATGCGGTGCTAGCTGCATGCGTCGGCGTACAAACACACCGATGAAATGAACAAACGTGTTCCACCTACCACACACTATTCTCTTTTAGACCTATAGAGGTAAACTACAACCTGTCGGGACGAACGATGACAACTTCTTGGCAAAGTGCCCGGGTTTTGTCAAACAGAACAAAGCAGAAACGCCCGTGAAAGCGGTAACGTGAGCTGGGTTCAGGACGTCGTGAGACAGTTCGGTCCAAACCCGGAGTATTGAGATGATTCTTCTTTAGTACGAGAGGACCAAGAAGAACATACCGCTGGTGTTTTGTCATACAGAGCAAAGCAGAAACTCACACAGCGTGTACTACAACGAAAAAAACAACTGCAGGTGCATGCGCACCGATGCCCAAGGAGGCCGCCACCGCAGCTGTCGGCAAGGCCATCGTCGCCACCCGCGGCGAGTGCAGCTTCATCGAGAAGGCCGAAGCAATGGGAGCCGGCCCGGGCGAGCGAGTCGGCGCGCTCATCGTGAAAAACAGCGAGACTGCCCTCTTTCACATGGGGGCCGCCCCAAGGTGAAGAACTGAAGAAGCCTCAACTTCTGAGTGACACTGGAGATGTGGTGTATCATATGTAGAACATTTTCAGGCAGTGCGAGACTGCATCCTACAATAATACCGTGTACGACACGTTTTCTCGCTTAAGCATCCCACGTTCGAGTTCGGACATAAAAAACGAAGCATGTATTTCTGAAACCACACTTACCACATTTACCACTAGCAAGGTCAAAATGAGCCCGTCCCGATATTCCTTCTCTAGTTTCATCTGGTATTGGATACGACGATGATGATGGTCGAAACGCAGGTGGCGCGGGGCGAACATCTCCCTGCCGATCGTGCTCGTTACGGATGTCGCTGGCCACGCGATCTCCACCCTACCCCCGGACTCGACCATACGCTTCGCCCCTTCCGAGCACGTCACGTTGGCCGCCTGGGACGAAATCGAGCGGCTGAAGGAGGCGTCCGTCTGGCCCAAAGAAACTCAGGAACGCCAGACTCTGTACGAAACCCTCGTGACCCGGAATGCAGGGTTTCCCGATCGGGTCTCCGCGATCCAGGGGGCGTTCTCGAGGGTGTGTAGTTGGGGCGAGGAGGGGGAAGGGATTGCTGGGCAAGGGGGAGGTGATGCTGAGAGGCGAGAGACTGGTGATGCCGATACAACAAGCGTCAAGCTTTGAGAGAGCTGCTCGAGGGGGGGGGGGGGGGGGTTCTTCTTCTCTCCGTTTTGTCTGCCATTGTTTCGGGAAGTAAAATAGTTGGCGAGTTACCGCCAGCGCGCAGAGGTGGCTAGAATAAATACGCCGTCCGTTTTGCTGTGGCCAAGCGGTGAAGAAGGTACACGGGGGTTCGAGACGACCCTCTGGAAGCTCGTATGTGCGGGGTTAAGCGCGTCTCTTTTGTGTTGCGCAGGCTTCTCTCGATTTCTCCCCTCGTGGGTGGCAGCGTTTCGATGGGCATGGTCAGCACGCACTCTGAAAGACATTCAAAGAACGAGGGACTACAATAGAGCCGACAGGAGGTGGCAGAAATCTTCATTGCTGGGATATCGAAGAAAACCCTCGCCAACCCCAGACAGAACAAAATACATGAGACAGAATCCATGCTGACAAACACAAGACTTTTCTTTCAACGTGTAAGGCACCACGCCGTTTCACGAGCGTGCAGTGGGCGCACATTGTTTCCAACGAGTGGAGGATGCGAGCAAGAAGCCATGGGTGCGAGGTTTTGCGTTGAGAACACTGATCCACACAGAGCAGATCGTGCACAAAAAACGACGGGCGAACACACACCAGTTCAGGATACAATGTAAAGCGGTAGGAGATGTCGCACGGCATCAGTCGCCTGACCAGTGGCAGGTAGCTTTTGCAATACGTCCAAGTCATTCCGCCGCTTGAAAACGCCACAACACCCAGAGTGTCGGTCGAACCGCATATTTCGTCAAACAGACCGAAAGTCCACGCCGCGGTATCTACCGAACCAAAGGAAGTTAAAAATCGCACGCCAACAGCCTGACACCTACACCACACAGCAGTCGTACAAAAAAGCTAAAGAATACAACAAAAACCTTTGAACGCTCAAACACACGATCGACACGAAAAAAACTAAAGATAACAATATTTCACCCGAACTCTACACGGCGGTTGTATTCTACCGCTCTCACCGCCTGCCGCCATAACCCCTACCCCCTCCTCAAACCCAGCCTCCAGCTCTATCCTACCAGACCTACTATTCCCACGATTCTAGCCTGCTACTTTGTCCCCCCCTTGCTACCGGGGTGGTGGTGGTGGCGGCTGCTGAAGCTGTTGCGGCTGCGTAGACTTCCTTTTGTACTGCCATTGCACCGCGCGCTTTCGCATCGTCATCTCCTGCCTCGCCCAGTCGTCGGATGCTGGCGATTCCGCCAGCATCCGGTACTTGAGCTCCTCTTCCGACAGCCCCTCCGCCACCTGAGCCGGGTGTAAAAACCACCAAACGGATGGGTTGCTAAGACGGGGGTATCGACAACATATTCTATGTCATTCTTTTCATCTCGCGCCCCAATCGGCAACGCCACCAACGACACCCTGGGCCACCTCCTGCAATGATTTCTACATGGGCTGCTTGTCTTGCCATGGCCTACAGTAGGCACGAGGAATATAGCCGGACAGCAAATAAACGGGCCTAAGGCTTCCTCACGACGAGGCGCCAGGCTCGTGACATACACGTGAGGACAAAAAGATGACACGTGTCACCTCCTACCCTCTAGCGAGCAACCAAACACCGGACCCAGGATGGGTTTGGCTTTGATTTCTTGCCGTACCACACTCTCTAGAGACAATGCTCTCACCCATACGGAATGAGAACTCGCTTTTGTATCGTCTTCCATCCGAAGCAATAAACATGTACCGCGGGTAAGCGACTGACCAACACATGCACCACACCGCTGGGAGTGAGATTTTGGTGAGAGGTTTGGGTCGACATGTCGGCGAGTGTTAATCCGATTGGCGCCAAAAAAGTAGCTGCGGCAACAACACTACTATTTACTAACTTTATTTGCTGCCATCGCTGGCTCGGACCGCCTTCGCCTTCGCGAAGATACTGTAAGAAGCGTTACGTGCGAAATAGAGAGGGGGGTTTTGCACCCCGAACCCTCACCCCCCAACAAAAACCAAGCTTGACAACCTCGCAAAAGGCTACTACTACTGGGCACACAGTCCAGGCCCCCCCGGCTCACCTCCACCATCGTGGAGATGACGGTCGTGATGAAGTTCGGGCGGTCCTTGTCCGGCCTCAGCCCCATGTACACCCACAGCCCGGACCCAGGGTCTAGCGCCATCTCGGCGATCACCGACCGGCTGCCCTGCATGTCGGCCACCAGCCTCGCCTGGTCGTGCTCGGAGAGGTGCACGGTCCTGGAGAGGTCCACCTCCTCGCCGTGGTTCCCCGCCTCGGAGCAGAGGCGCACGCCACCCCCCCCGCCCACCGCTGCTGTTGCCGGGTAAGCCCTAAGGTCCACAGAGGCGAGGTCGACCCACTTCCACTTGAGCAGGGCCGTGTCTGTGCCTACCTTATAGGGCGCGTCCGGCTGGAAGATGATGCCGTCCGTCTTGTGGTGCAGCGACCGCTCCTCGTCGCGGAAGATGCGGTGCTGCCCCTCGACGAGCACCTGCCAGAGGTTTGGTCGTATGGAGTACGTAGTAGTTCCTAAGATTGTTGTTGATTGGGTCGGTATTTTGGCCCCCAATTTTGTCTCTGTGTGGGTGTGGTAAGTCGACCGCGGTCGGTGGCGTTAGTAATGCCCCGTTTTCGTCGCAGCATAACAAAACTGAGGGATACAGCAGTAGTCTACAGTAGGTTGCCAACCTATAAGTACAACACGAGCGGAACTCCCTTTTCCCGCAATGGCACGCAAACCGCGTGGAATGAACAAACATCGACACCTTACGATAAAAGCTAACTTCAATATTCAACGAGATTTACAGGGCATTCGTCCGGGGCGGGACGTATTTACCTGTCGGAACAGGTCCATGATCTTCTGCCGCGGGAAGAACCTCTTCGGGACGAGCATCAGGTGCCCGTCCGGAGCGGCCTCGGCGCCTCCCTCGCGGACCCGGTCCACGTAGGCGGGGATGATCTCCTTCTGCAGGACGGACAGCCGATCCAGGAACCCGCACGGCACCAGGTTCCGTTCCCGATTTCGCAGGATGTCGAAGGCGACGAAGATGGCCTTCTTCATCGTCCGGTTGTGCACAAGCTCTCCGTCGAGGATCGTGCCGACCCCGACGATCCCGGCCAGGAACCCGCCCCCCGTCACCCGGAAGACGTTCATCGACCGGTCCACCAGCACGCAGGTGGCGCCTCGTTCCGTGCCGACGGCCATCATGAGGTACCTGACGCCGTCCGTCTTCTCAGCGACGAGGTAGGAGCCCCGCTGCACGTCCGGGACGTTGCGCTTGCACATGTTCACCGGCTGGGCCCCCGGGAAGCTGGACCCTTTCCCCGTGGGCCTCTTGAGCTGCGCGCACGCCGCCGCGACGGCCTTCCTGATCCCGTCGTCCTGCTCGGGCACCGGGTTGGCTATCGCCGACAGCGGCTCGAGGGGGTTGATCGACTCCAGCAGGTGGACCAGGTGCGTGGCCACCTGCGAGGTCATGGCGATGACCTCCTGCGGCTGGGAGAGCGACAGCCAGCGGTCCCTTGCAGCGGGCAGCAGCTCGAGCTCCACCTCTCTTACCACTCTCACGCCGCCGCCGCGCTGTGGGCCGTTGCTCACCTCCTCGACGAGCGTTAGGTCCGCCCTCCAGATCCACCGCTCGTCCTCCGGCGTGTTCGCGTCCGACTTGAACGAAAACCTCCGCTTGGTTCTCCTCCCGGACCAGCCCTGCGGAGGCTCGCTGCTGCCGGGCTGCAGCCCGGGCACCGCCTCCGGCGGCACCGGCTGCTCCAGCGACGCCTGCACCCGGAGGTCGTACTGCGCCGCCGCCAGCTGAAAGTTCACCTGCTGCCGCGCCTCCTTCCGCTCGCAGCGGAGCGGGTTCACCCCGTCCGCCACCACCCGCTGGTCCCGCATCTGCCCGGAGTCGTAGACGTAGACGACCTCCTTGCTGGCGAGCTCCGCGACCCCGTACCGCCGCCCGACCTCCTCCTTGACGGCGTCGAAGGCGGGAGCGCTAACGCCGGAGACGAACCGCAGCCCCCGCTGCCGCATCATGTCGGAGTCCATCTGCACGGCTCCCGACCCCGGGATGCCCGGAGTCGCCCTCTCGAGGCGGTCGTGCTGTGAGATGAGCCCCACCCGGACCTCGATCTCGAGGTTCGAGCGCACCTCCGCGGGCTCGTGGCACAGCCGCTGGTGCAGGGCGCTGAGGGCGTGGGCGAGCGCCTGGAAAAGATCATCTCCCTGCGGCTGCGGCTTGGAGGGAGCCGGCCGCTTGCCGAGGCTGGAGTGGGTCTTCTCGGCGTTGTCGATGAGGTCGCTCAGCAGATCCATGTTTTCATGAGCAGCTGCTACACTTACTAGGCGGTCGAGACTGCTGCTGTTGTTAGGCTCTCTTGTTTGGGAGCAGATTTGGTGCAGAAGCGGCGAGATTTTTTGAAGGGTTTGCATTTTGAGCCAGTTGCATCGCCATCAAAGGGGTTAGGGGTGGGCATTTTCGCTTGAGGGAACGAATTTGCACGGAATGCTCGTCAGCTTTTGGGAGGAAAACTACTGCTGTACAACCAGCTTTACCGGTGGGTACCTCGTGGCGAACCCCTCTTCGTTACGAGCACGTTACTGCTGCCACCTATATCAACCTCATCGATGAGTTTTAGGCTACACTCTCCAGCGCGCGAAGGACCTCTCGGGTCTTCGTTGTCTGCTGTATCGTCAAATATAATATGTGCGCGACCACGAGAGGCGGGGAAGCAGCCCCAACTACCACGGGGCAAGCAGTAGTTAGAACGCAGAGCGGTGCTACTGCGTACACATTCTAGCCAGAGAATCTCTCGGCAATACTGTAATGCTGCTTGACGGATCATGTATACATTTACATTTCGATGCGTACGTACAGCAGTATAAGCGCATGTGAAGATTGTGCTTAACTAAATACTCTGTCTTCCTCGTGGTCCCTCCATGCCGGCAACAATTTGTCACGGAGGTGTGGGTGATTAGTTCGAACTTCAGGCGCAACCCTTGTTCTGAGAGATCAATGTACGAACTTGACCACAGCAGGTGCTACCCTGCACGACAATATAGTAGCCGTTGTCGAGTTACCCCAGAGAGGGAATATAACCGAACCCCGGGAAAACTACAGTCATCGATGAAATCAAAAATCATAGTAGGAGGTTCTTCTGCGGTGACCCGGGGCGTCTCTAACCAACCAACCACATCAATTAATCAATCACCTAAATTTCCGCCAAGGGTACATTGCTTCCTGTACCAATCACATCAGAGAGTGGTGACCCCTGCGGTGACCAACGTGCGGTTGGTCCTTGTCAGTTTGTTAGACATTGGTCGGTAGCTTTATTTCGGTGCGACTCCCAGCCATTGGTGTGCTCAAAATTCAGGTGAGACCCACGAATAGTTGACGGGGATACACGGACCGAAAACACTGACTAAACAGGCGGAGGGAAAGTGCCGCTAAATAGCATACAAGTTCACATGCGAACGCTCGTAGTAGAAGTAACGCATGAACTGCCCAAGCGAGCAAAAACAGGCGTCAAGACTCGCAATCCCAACGATTGGGCGACTCGCCAACTCTCTCTTCTCTCTTCATCATGCTGCATGTTGTATGAAAACAAAACCCGGATGCGGTAGCCACACAGAAAAACACCTGTGTAATGTTGTAGAGAGCATGGAAAACTTCAACAATTTTCACCACAACCTATTGCCACCATGCCCATGGCAACAGGAAACACGACGTTCAGAGCTTCGAGCGTGCTGAGCTACATGAAAATCCGGATGCTGTAGCCACACAGAAAAACACCAGCATTTTCGTGAGAAAGTGGAAAACCTCGCAAACAAGTTTAACCACAACCAACCGACCACCAACATGCCCATGGCAAGAGGAAACACAAAGTACAGAATTTCGAGCGTGATGGAGCAATTGGAAAAAACAATAACATGAGATGCAAACGCCGGTTTTGTCACATGGTGTTTTCGTCTCTGCAACTATGATCAACGTCGTCGCTAACCGACGGACCCACGAAAAACACGGAAGTCAATCAATCTTCCCAGGGGCGACACTCCGAAAGCTCCTTCTAGTCCGCGGGTTCCCCGTTGGGAGTGCCGCGTAAATCACGTATGCACGACTGTCGAAAATGTAACGGTAACAATTACGTGCCCATCCACCGCCCTCTGCATACACCAACGAACTTGCTTGGCGCGTGCTCCTTCGGTGTGTGTGTGTTTTCTACAACATCATAGCATCGACCCCGCCAACCGGCTGACCGACCAAAGGACGTCTGTATTATTGTAGCGGGAAAACACGGTCGAACACTTTCAACTCACAAGGGTTCTACCGACAGGGTGTGTGTGTGGGTGATGTGTGTGTGTGGGGGAGGACCCCTGGATTCTTGGCGGGTTCTGTTCTTGACGCAAATTTCAAATTTCCAAAATCCTTGCTCAACCCTTGCTCTGCTGTCCAGACAGGAAGTTTTCCTCAAGAGAAGGAGGCGTCTTGGGCTGCACTAGTGTACAAAGCGGTCTCCTCTTCGTTTCCCTCGTTACGCAGAATGAAGTCGTCAGGCAGGCAGGGCAAAACTTCAGCAGTCTCTTCGTCGTCATGGATCCGGTTGGCAGCGGCTGCTGCCGTCCGTGCGCTGCGAGCGGAAACATCGACGCCGGAGGCATGGCCACGAGGGGGTAAGGCTGAGATGGGAGATGGTGGAGGAAGCTACGTCGAACCCGCTTGTGTGTGTGTGTGTGTGTTTGTGCCTTTATTATTAGCATCGACCGCGCTAACCGGCTGACCAATGAAAAGACGTCAGTCTCGGTGCATTTGAAAACACGACCCCGTGAGGGGGCGGCATGGGGGAGGCTAAGCTATTCTCCGGATTAAAGACAGAAACGGTAGCAACTGTGTGTGTTTTTTTTATTATTAGCATCGACGACGCCTACCGGCTGACCAATGAAAAAACGTCAGTCACAGCGCGGCTGAAATCAGAAAATGCTTCTAAACGCCACGTGTGTGTGGAAATCTATCGGCGGAAGCCAGACATTTCAGATTCGATTCGTTCGGCTTTTAGGGCCCGGGGATTTCGGGGCAGAGGAAGTTGAGGCATGGAATGCGTCAAAGCGGGGATGCATACGGATGCGGGACACGGCGTGGCGGGGTGAATCCCGGCTTGGCACGAGATCTCCAGCAATACAAGAAGAATTTATTCTTTCTCTCATCGGTGGAGCTTCATGCCAAATACAAGGATGGAAACGTGGAACATTTTCTCTTGGTACCAGACGCAGCAAACAAACTAACTTCCGGACAGTACGCTGTGATATTCTTTTGATCATTTTTCTTTACATACACGCCATTTGTTTTCTGTTTTCGCCCACCTTCATGCCATAAAAACTGCAACCGAAAATGCCAAGCTGGTCACCATCCGGCGCGCCTTCCGGATCCAGGGGTGCAATTTCGTACCGCGTCTAGAAGTTGACGGGACGGGGACGGTGGCAACAGCAGCAGCAGCACGGGTACGACATCGTGGATGAGGGGGAAGAGAACACATGTGGACGCGTGTTCGACTCCCAGCTGGAATACCGTTGAGGCACCATTGATTAATTGCCAGCAGACGGCGAGGGGTGCGCCTCCGGAGATCACTGTTTCAGCTGGGAGGCCAAGAGCCTAAGAAGCGAAGTCATCCGTTCTTCATTGCTCACACGTGAAAACGTTTCTAGATACTTATTTTGAACCAATGAGAGAGCTAAACGAACAGTCTATCAACCGTAGCTTGACATCTGCTGGAATCACGACGTCACAGCAGCGTGTGCACACCATGATACTATGCGGAGAGCAGGACGATATGTTTGGTCAAGCAAGCGGTATGGCTCGGCACCGCGCGTACCTACATAGAAACAAGGTTCCTCCGCGGAGGTCTGGCCACTCCTATGACGTCACCGTAATCACAGATAACATCTTGAGGTTTAGGTATGGTGCTACGACAGACAGTGATATATTCCTGCGACAAGCGTCAAAAGAACAACCCCGTTTCTTCAAGCCCTGGCTCCGCGACACGGAAAAGGCCTCGACTTTGCGCAGCCCGTACGTTACACCGTCGGTGCCCTACGTCCCAGGAACCTTTCCGCGAAACACCCTAGACAGACAGATGACCACCACCACATGTTTCTACTTCTACAGTAGCGTGCCCGACATGACAACAACGTGCCGCCTGTCGCCAGGCGGGGTCCGTTCCAGCAACTGCAAAACCAGAAAGAGAACAAGTTGTCATGTTCGGGGTACGAAACCACTTGGGCGTAAAGTACCATGGCAATTTGATGCCATGAGTGGGATGAAGACAACAACGTGCGCCGCGGACGATCACGGTCCTTATCTTGACGGCGAAGGGCACGAGGAGAGCGGAAGCGGCCAATGCCCGCCTGCCACCTTAGCGCGTACTGCTATTACGGCGTAGGATAGTGTGCAACCTAAACCCCGCGACAGCGCAAAAGTGCTTACCTTCGCCAAGGCGATGAACTCGTCCAGCGTCTCCCTCACCTGTCCACAGGGCGCGGCAGGTGTAGAAGGATTTGATTCAACTGAGCACAATTACCCAAAAGTAATCGAAACCCCTTCCCGGGCCAAGAAAGTTGCTACATGCTATGCTACGCTAGAAGAAAAAACAGAATGGCAGCAGTCTCTGAAGAACAGCGCTTTTTTCGCACCCCATACCACGCTTGATCAATATAATCCGCTGGGCCGTGACCAGACGTATTCGTTTCTCTATACATTCACGGATGGTACGGAGGAAGATCAGAATCGTTCGAAGGGCAAGACGACGACAGTCAGTAAGCATCGTTTCGTAACCAACACCAGCATACCTCTTGGACCTCCTCAAGCTGCTCCTTGGCGTCTTTGGTCCCGCAAGCCGCCTTTAGCTCCAACAGGTGCCCCTGCGTCGTGGGGTTTTCGGTTTTTGGTGTCGTTTCATCAGGTGTCTTGGTTGTGTAGAACTAGGTCCAATACTTACCACTTACCACACCAAAAGACCTCCGAGGAATGCCTTAGAAAAGAATGCAGTTATTCCGCGATTGAGCTCTTCTCATGACGTGCTGTGATTGGCGTTCTGCTGGCGTTCTGTGGTGGCAGCCCAGGCACTATGGCGGCAAGATTATCGCGCGGTTGTGGGTCATGCGCACGGGAAAAAAAGGAGAGCCGAGGGGTATCTTCAGGGACATGTAGCATGAGTAGTACACCGTAAGGACCGAGGGACACACTCTCTCCTCTCTCCGTCAGGTGGTTCTGCCGACCCGTCTTGGTGTGAAAAAGTTGTTTCCCGAGTGCGGTACAGTAGACAAAAAAAGCCCCAGGAAAAGCTTTAATGTTGTTTTCGGTGTTGTGTGATAGTGCAGCGTTTCTCCCATTCCTTGGAAAAAACAACTAGAATGCATAGCTCGCACCAAAAGCTCGCCGATTAACTCATGGCCAATTGCGGAAGGTTGAAAGAAGAGGTAGGTCATCGCTCAATAAGGCACGCCACGGTCCCGGGGAAAAAACGGCAGGGGTTGACGAAAGAGGATCCCCGCTGCCAAAACAATCCTGAACCTTGATCCGGCCAGGAGTACGAAAATGATCAATTACCTTCATGATCAACGGCAAGAGCTTCACTCGCTCCCTGTTCTCGCGGCCAGCGAGCTGCATGAGTGGCGCCACCTTGAGCATCTCCTCCTGCATGGGCTCGAGGTAGACCTCGAGAACTCTCAAGACTACCACCGAGTCCTCGGGCCCTCCCTTCAGGGCCCCCGCTTTCAGGTCTTGCTCCAACTTTTGTTGCATGTACGGCATGAACGTCGTCGGCAGGATACGCATTTGGGTCGTGAGGGCTGTTGATTGTGGAGAATGCCGCAGGTTGACTCACCACGACCACAACCAAGAGAAGGACAACAACAACAACAACAAACACACAACACATCGTACAGTGTGGCGCGATGGTACAGCAGGAACGCCGACCAGACAACACGTGGAAAATTACGAACGAGACAGTATTCCGCCAGAAAAACCAGAACAGCGACAAGGACAAAGTAGCACAGCAACCCAGAGCGTTTGCAACTGAAACGACCACCTACGTAGGATAATGTTAAAACCTTGTCTGACGGCTGATGCTACTGTACTCATGATACATTCGTGGTCAGGCGTGTTCATCTCTAGAGGGGAAGGGGGCCCCGCGGTCTCATGATCTTGGTGGGACAACACACAATATTTCTCGATCGCGTTACTCAAGAACAAACAAATCCCTTCCTTTCGTGTAGCTTGTGATCTCCTCCAGATGTATACCATACTACATACGCATATCACGGCAAGCACTCCCGAACGAAGCGCAGGGAGTGAATGAATGCCTGCAGTCGCTACGAAACCCCGTGTTCTGTAGATACCACAAGTTGGCCAGTTGTACAGCATATCCACTACGCTTCAAGTCAGCGCTGACTTGCTGACTTAAATCAGCGCTGACTTGCTGACTTAAATCAGCGCTGACTTGCTGACTTAAATCAGCGCTGACTTGCTGACTTGTAGCAAAGTGGATAGCTTTACACATCTCAACAAGTAGTATTAATAGTGTACATCTTGACGCAAGTCGACAAGGAAACCACACCTCTCAGGCCGTTTCTTCGCGGGCTCGATACCTACACATCAGGAGGGAGGGCGGGGACGACGCGTATCTTCGGCAATGGCAATGGCAATCGCCTTACCAGCACTGGCATGTACTGCCTATTTATCGGTCTTCGTAAATCCGACCAACGGGTGAGTGTTGTGTGCCGCGGAACGCGCAGTCACGAGGCGGCATCTGGCAGGATTTCACGCACCTTGTTGACGAACCTGGAGTACCCGGCCACCTTGACCACTTCCTCCAGTTCTGGGTTGTCTTTAGGCCCGAAGGGCAGCGCTTGCGCACAGAGCGGGTGCATGAGACAGGGGAGGGGAGGGGGGGGGGGGGTAATATTACTGTTTGGCGACCTGTGGTCGGTTGACCATGGCCCACGCATGCCATTCGACACCGAGCATCCTTCCCAACTACTGCCGTGAGAGACATCGCCAACATCTGGCGCCCTTCATAGTTTTTGCCATCTGTGAAAAGGAACTTCTTGCGTTGGGTGTGGAGCAGGGAGGGGAGGGAGGTGGAAGGTGCTGCAGGCGATAGATAGCACACGTGTGTCAGTATACGCATTCCGTTGACGTAAGATACCACACTCCCCCGGACCGGTTGTCAAATCTCGACTACTCCACGACGAAGAGGATGTCACAGCCAAATGACATGTTTTCGCACTGATCTCGACAAGATGGTTCCCAATGCCGCCACTCTGTCTACTGCTCTGTGGAGTAACAGAGCTTTGAAAATCGGCCCAAAGGGGCGTGGTACGTTGTTGTACGGTACAGTTTGGAACAATCAGCAGTGGTTGTACGACTCGAGATGATCAAGTAGCCACATGTCACGAGGAGAGTCTGTCGCCAGTACTTGACAAGACTTGAACCATTATATAGTACGGCGCTCTCCAATGCGGTGACAGAGTGTGTTGGAAGGTTCATGCCGCACGTCCGTATATGACACAAGATATCACATCCCCTGAAAAGATTTTGAAAGCTCGATTGCTCCACAACAAAGAGGATGCATGAATAAAAAAATACGTTTTCGGAAAGCTCTTGATGAGGCGGTTGCCAACGACGCCATTTACGGCACCATCAATGCTGTTTCTCCGTTGGAGTAATTGATCTTTGAAATCGGTCCATGGGGTGTGATATCTTACGTCACCTACTGCTGCTGGACAATTAACATCACGAGGCAGCCCGGCGAGCAGAACGCTGCTATGGGTGTAGTGCAACAGCAGTCATACATATAATTTGTATATTTTGAGATTGCCATGGTAACCAACTACTCCCTTTCCCGGCGCACTACTTTCAGATCCTGAACGGCGCGGGCGTATGCGTTGTATGTGTGTCCCCTTCCTACATACAAGAGAAAACAGCAAGTTTCTACTTCTAGAAAAGAGCAAGCTGCTGATCCGAATAACCAGTGTTTTGGAGACATCAAGCAAAACCTCGAATCAAACGTGACGCAATGCTCTTGCAACAGACGCTGCTGCTGCAGCAACACTTGGGCGGGCAGCAGCTGCAGGAGAGGAGAGGAGAGGTGGCAGCACATCTGCACCCACCCCTGCTGCACACACCACATGACAGATGATAGCCACGTGTGTGTCCCACACTCACTCACCGAACGCGGGCGTTTCCGTTGGCCTGGCGACAACCGTGGCAAGCGCAGCAGCACCGCCTAGCGCACTCCTGAGAAAAGCTGCCCTACTGGTGCCGATCTGGCCGGATGGCCCCTCTGCACGCATGTTGACGTTCCTGCTTCAACACACACCGTCAGCAGAGTCATCTATCTCAGCGAGCACCACACACAAACACGCACGGAAGGAATATTGCGGATGACGACGATTGCTGCTGTGCACAGACACTGAAACCGCGGCGGTGTGGAAGCGTGTTCCTTGACGAAGACCTGCCCACCTCTTGGTGTTCAGATGAGCTTTTGGGGATGATCATGGGCGGCTAGATCGTTAATCGTTAGCAGCATGGCTTACCTTGGCAATGCTCGCTTGGTTGCAGGGTTACCGCTGCTGACGCGGAACGAACAACATGGACTGTTGACGAACGGCTGGCCCCGGCGCAGGAGAACCGCAACCAGCAGAGCCACAGCTGCTGATCCATTGTGCCATCTCCAGGACATCGTCTTGGCACCGCTATGCGCAAGATGTGAGCAAGCTGTCGTTGCTAACGTAATGGATCTATTCCCGCCGTCGCCGCACAGGCACCTTCCAGAAAGTGCGGCTTGACTCAGCAAACAGCTGAAGCGCGGGCGGAAGGAAGCTCCCTCCGCGTGTTTCTGCGAATGCGCGAATGGATCTTCGGGGAAAACGTTTCATGCGGCGAGATTTGGCGCGTACGCGAATTCTACCGGTATTGCGATCTTTATCCTCGATCTTATACCTCGGGGCGTGATAGGGTGTGCCAGCAGAGGCTGGCAAATAAGAGAGGGTTACTCACAAAGGGGAGGCAGAGCAGCCGACAATAAGGCTCGAGGCTGTGGGATCTACAGGGAGGGATCTGGAACTGTATGCACAGCCGACCGTATCCCACCCGATGACATTGAAGGGAATAAGAACAGAAACAGCTGGAGAGGGAGAGAGTATTGCTAAACAATAGGAGGGTATAGTACGGGTAGAGAGAGAGAGAGAGTTTCGGAGGGGGCTCTAAATGCGGAACAAAGGAGGCCAACTTATTTTGTTCGCGCTGACGGTGAGCACGGGGCATGCTGGGGGAGGAGAGTCCGAGCCAGCACTGCTGTCCGCGAATGGAACCTGCAACGGTGAGAGCAGTATTCGTAGAACAACTGCTACAAGCTTGTACAGCCACAACAGAGCAATGAGTGCAATAGGCTTATCATGTACTGTAATATCGACTTGGTTTGTAAAGACGAAACTGGTGCATGCAGTGGTCAAAGGCGTGTGCCCATGTGACGAGACCGACGCGCAACCTGACGAAACTGGGTGAAAATGAGCGAAGATTGAGTTGTGTGCTCTCTGCGCCCTTCCAACCCCTCTTTTCTTTGATGTGTCTATTGCGCGCGGGCATGTTCGTTCCGCCAATATCGGCCCCCGGGACAGTCTGCCGCAGAATAACACAGGTGACGTTCACACTGGTAGCCTTTGACTGTCTGTGTAGCTGTATCCGCAACCAACCGATCCAGAATGAGAGGGCTCGGATAGGCCGAACAAAAGTTGACAAACTGTAGTGTGTCTGTATACATACATTATGCTTCCTCAAAACGAATGATACACAGCCACAGCAATTCCATCGAGACAAGCTGGCAAACCAAATCTAACTTAGATCGATAAGGCTACTGCAGCCGAATTTTGTTGTCGTTGACCTTAATTAAAAGTTGAGCCGCTGAGTCTCTACCAGTACTAGCTACTGTAGAATGCATTGTGTCGACCACCACATTGTGTCGACCACATCGACGGGTTCAGTAAGCTGGCCTATAATCGTGCTCATTCTGTGGTGGAAGAACTTGCCGTGGAGAATGTTGTAGTTACAAACCCTCGAGATTGCCTAACGAAAACTTAACCTCGGTCCCTCTTGCTCTTAATCGTTCGGCTTGCTATGAAAGGGATTTGTGGACCTCCACACCGAGTGGCCTCTCGTGAGGAGTACCAACAAGGAGGTTTCAAGAAGTTCACGCGACCGAGGAGATGACGACGATGCTACCGTTCGTCGTCAGGACGAGGCGATGAGCATCACATATGAGGCCGCCATAGAACGGTAACTTCGTGTCAATATGATTGGTTGTGTACGTACATCTCTGTGGTGTTTCTGCATGCAAGAATATGCTCCGCTACCGTAATGAGAAAAACTGCCCAGAGGAACAGCACTACTTGGTATCTACATCGTCATGACGAAACAGTCGTGAAACAACTATTCGTCCCCAACCTAGCCGAACCGACACCCCCCATCGAAAGCCGTCCGTCCTTACAATCATCAAAGCTACCTATACCTATGGTTTGACGCGGCCGCAGTCGTACAACGCATCGTCCTCGCCGCTTCGAAAAATACCTCATCGGGTGTCCACGCATTTTTACCCAAGGAGACACTAAGGCCGCATTCATACCGCAGGCAGAAATTACACGGGTGGCCAAGGCAGGTTGTATCTGGTTCACAACCTCCCCACAATCTCCCTAGGGTCGGGTTGTACGCCGACGTATGCAGCTAGCCCCACATCACGGATTGCGGCGTTGGTCCAATCAATAGGGCGGGCTGGCAGCGTAGCATGTTGTCCAAGGTCGATCCCCAACTCCCAACCTGACCCTCGGGGAGGTTGGGCACCAGTTACTACCTCCCTTTGGCCACCCGTGTACATATCCTGCACTCCCTCTTGCGTTGCTTCGTGGTTAATGATCGCTTCGTTCGTCTACCTGTGTCCAGAAGTCATAGCGCCAACTCGATTCCGTAAGTGTCAATCGTTTCTTCCCCCTGCTATCGATGACAGGTACTGCGAGCAGTCGTTCCTGAGCGGTAGTCAGCAGCGGGTCTGTTACTCCATCGCCCCCTTCGCGGTGAGTGTGTGCTTCCCCTCTCCAAAGGATTACCGCATCTCGTCGTCCCCCTCTCATACTGCAGACCGCTGCTGACTGGAATGCGGTGTCCTTTGGGTTGATGAATCTCACAGTCAGCTTCCGGATTCCCCCTTACTGATCAACACCTGCCCATCCATGTGCCACGCAGGCGGAAGTTGGAAAGTGGCTCGGCATGGGAGTCTCGCCAGAACGTGTCTGCCGCAAGCTCGGCAAGCGTAACCCGGTGAGCGCTGCCCTTTCTATGTTCTTCATTGGTAGTTCTTCTGCTGCTGCAGTTCGGCTAAATAACAAAGGCACTCAGCATTCGATGAAGATTCTCAATTGCTACTCCCTCCTGGCGGAATACGAAGGCCTCAAGGCGATTTATTGTCGTCTTCACGCCCCGGGGGCGGCGAAAACCCACGTCCGCGAATGTTCTAGCGAAAAAAGAACACACCACCGCAAAGAGAGAAACCCCATCACCCCACAAATCTCCGCCCAACGACACCCACGCGCACGCAGGAAACGTGTTTCGATGCGAGGGATGCGGAGCGACCATCGAGCGTGGCGGAGGCGTCACTGGATTGGCGAAGTAGACCACCGTCGGTTCCCCAGGACGTAGACTGCCTCGTCGAGCATCGGAACTCCCTCCCCCCACGCTGGGTGCTGCTAGATTAGCTAAGCCGGGAAGGAAGCAACCCCGCGAAAACATCAACACGCGTTTTCGGCCTCCCGTACGTTTTGTGTGAGCGAGCAGCCAGAACGGAGATTGCTTGTTGGGTTTTGGGCCACAGTCACAGTAGTGGAATCGCCGGTCCCTTCTTCACCTCGCCTTGGGGGGCAAAAATCAGCAATTGCAAACACTTTTCTCCACCATTGCTTAGTGCTGGAGTCAACCCGTTGCGTGTTTTAACCCCTGCGTCTACCTAAGCTACGCCGACGAATCGAATGTAGTACCAGCCGACAAGACACGTACACTAGGCCTCGATAACCACCGGGGTAGTCGAGACGGCGGCGAAAAATAACACAAGGCATTTCATGCTTGGCCCAGCAGACTCGCGTTGGCTTGCTGCACGACCGGACCTCTCCTCACAGAACGCGGTTTAGGGAGCAGCAATCAACCCCCCCCCCCCCCCCCCCCAAACCTAGGGGAAAAACCCAAACAAAG